CGGGCAGCCGTCGCCCATCGTTCAGCTGCAGCAAAAGCAGAACCGCATCAGCCCCATCCAGAAGCCACAAGGACTGGATCCTGTTGAAATACTCCAAGAACGTGAATATAGGTAAACGGGAATAACAAGATTCTTGTTAACATATCCATATAACATACTCGGATGCTTATGCAGGTTGTTGCGCTTCACTTTCTCAACTGAAACTCCTCACAGTCATCTACTGTGGTGTCGATAGTAGAAATTGAGTTTCCAGAGGGAGGCCTCATGTCAAAGAGAAGTACAGAAATGTCAAACCAAACAATGATTTAATTCTGCTCTGAGTTACGGCATAGTAAAGCATACTGGCAGTATCGCTGCGAACCAGTTTAAAACTTTAAAGCAGGCTCGCAGACTCTGCTGGGTTAGCGTATTACTTGAATGCTGCAAACATTGAAAGTTAGGAATTCAAAATCCTTGTAGTCTACAGAGGAACCAGTTCAGTGCAGAAAGTTTTCAGAATTATAAATAACAGTGGATGTCAAAAGGCTGATGAGCTAGTGGTCACAGCAAAACAGATTTTACTAGTGATGGTGAGGTTGGCTGGAATACCAAAGAATAGAGATAATATTAAGGAGGTTACAGGCAAGATTTAAAAACAAAACAACAAAAAAAAACCACCACCACCAAAAAAACTTCCCATGAAATGTGATCTTTAAAAGTTGTTTCCTGAGTGCCCTAATTAGATGGTGAGTTATATTCAATACAAATTACAGAGGATGACATTTCTTGTGGAGTTAGCAAGAGACTTGCCCTCTTCCCATCAATAAGGCTACTAAACAATTGACCTTGAGAATCTACTGGGCACAAGGATCTTCACCTGCACCTAAAATATGCTCCTGACCATTACATAAGAGGAAAGAAATGGCGCTTAGGGTACCAGCTTGTTTTGGACTGGTGGTGGCATTGTCCAGTCACTGTAACAGTGAGTTTGTAGGGGAAGTTGCCCAAAACGGCTGGTGATGTCACTGAAGACTGGTTTAATAACTTTGGCTTTATAAAGATAATAATACCATAAAGTGTTTTAGAATGACACCATAAAGCATTTTAGAATGCAATGTCATGTCCAGAATCCAAGCCTTGATCCCAGGAAAGCAATTACTATTTGTATAAGATAATGTTTAAGTAATTTATTGGTACGTTGTTGTGGTCATTCTGTCAGTTTTACACTTTTTATCTTAGGACTGAATGGCCATAGCTGCTGAATCGCCACAGCTATTCCAGCATGAGCAATCACTATTTCCAGTTCTTTCTCAGAAAGCTTGTAGAAGGCACCACTATATGGTTTCACAGTTGCTCTGGGTGAAGAATTGTAGCACTACCTGAACCAAGAATCATGTGAACAGTATAATGTAGCCTTTTTTGCATTAGTGAACCTCATATTGTTACTTCTGTCTTCCCAGCCCTGCTCTTTTGTGCTATTTGTGTGAAATTATTATGTCTTGGTATGCATAAATGGGCGAAAGTGAAGAGTGACAGAGAATACTGATGTTGCAAATACAGCATTAGATTCTAAATACCCTAATCCTCTTGGAAGAGTGAGTGAGGTGGAAGTTTGATAGGGATTGTGCAGCAAGAAGGGTTTTATTTTTTATTGCTTATGGTAGTGCATATATAATGATAAAAGATTTTTTAATGTTGAACATTACTGGAATTTGAGTTTGGTCTGTGTACCAGAATGCCTAAAACTTCTGTCAGTCTTAGTTTTTTAGAACTGTGTATCAGACAGAGGCTTTGGAGAAGAAAAAAAAAAAAAAAACCAAAACAAACCAGTGTAATAGCTTTTGTGCTCTGTATGGTTCTAGACTTAGGTTGAGTAGAGGCAAGTTTAATACAGAAACAAAATTTATACACACGTTCTTGATAAAAAGGGAGTAGAAAAAAAGCCAATATAAACATTTGTATCCTGAAAACAGTGAAGTTAATGGAAGCTTTATGAAATGGTTGGTTTTCCATTTATGTAATAGATATTTTAGTAGTGAACTTTTTAAATAAAGGGGCATTATACTTTGAAATACTTACAAAACTGTTTGAATTACTTATTTTCATGAAAAAAAAGGAATTACCACATGTATATTTTAGTGTACTGTATTATTATGTATAGCAGTATATGTATTATGTATGTAGCATATTTAGTGTATTGTAGGAAAGCGTGAGCTTTGAATCTGATTAAGTTATGAATTCTTGAAAACAACAGATTATGTTTACTCAGTGACTGCAGTTGTTTTGGCTGGGATAGAGTTCAATTTCTTCATAGTAACTGGTATAGGACTGTTTTGGTTCGTGCTGAAAACAATGTTGATAGTACAGGGGTGTTTTTGTTCTTTTTGAGCAGTTCTTACACCGAATCAAGAATTTTTTTTGTTCCCCACACCACCCTGCCAGTGAGTAGGCTGGGGTGTACAAAAAGTTGCATACACACCTCTGAAGTGCATAACAGAGACTTTGGGGGGAGAATACATGCTACCACACATACACAGTTCCATTTCTTAGTGGATCAGGTACATGATTTTTGTATTAGTGCATGTCTTATGCACAGAGCAGTATTGTAGATGTGCAGTACTTTAGATCTTGCTGTCACGTGTTACATCTAATTTTTTATTTCCAGGGGTAGCATTTTTTCCTTTCCTTGTTACTAGGAAGTCAGGTAATTTGTTTCATCAAATGTTTCATGAAATAGGCACTTAGAAGTACAGTATAGCATTTCTATTCATTAACCACATGTTAAATAGACCAATACAGATGGAGAAGCAGTAATGCACCTATTAACATATTGCAGAATCTGAAAAAGCTTTGAATCTAATGAGATATCAGTGACTACTTTTTCTTCCTGAAAATCTTTGATCTTAATATAATTAGATATTAATATAAAAAAGTGCCAGCATATATTAACAAAGAGAAACAAAATAAAGAATTAATGTTGCTGTCAAATTTGCATGATGTGCTGAGAAGCTATTTGTAACATATGTTGATTTGAGATGAGATTATAAAATAATTGAGTTAATCTCTGTGTGACTGAAGGTGGATAAAAAGAAACTCGAGTATTGAAAATTCTTATCAATATAGGAAGTTTAAATTATTCTTATATGGAAAGCTGTTGAACTACTTGTGTTCCTTGAAATCTGGCCAGAATGAAAAACTCATACAGTGCTTTTATGAAACTCTGCTTAACACTTTCTTCAAAATAAAAAGCTGCTTTTTAATCCCACTGAATTAGATCTACTAAAGCTAATAAAGTGTAATTTGAATTTGTTCTGTTATGTGGAAGGGCTTTTTTTTTAACCTTCTCCTTGATAATTAAAAAGCTGCACTTGCTGGTGTTCTGTAGACTGTCTGTGATTTATTTCTGTTATCTGGAAAGTCTCTTTTTACATGTATCTTTATGGCTTACTGCATGGCATCTGTGGCAGACAGGTTTGACTGTGCAAGTGTAACCCATGCTGTTGACCCCAGTTAATGAGGAAGAGGCATACATCACTTGTTTAGCAGAGATCTCTGTATAGGTGTGCTAGACACTTTCTGCATGGATGAAGCTAAATTGCTAAACTGCAAGGATTATTTAACTCTATCCTTTAAACAGTGAGATAATATCATTCAAGTGCTTGTAAAAAGCACTTGAGAAATTTTATTCTTTGGATTCTGTTTAACTGATAGCTATTAGGGTTTTCCCATGAAGATTGCAATAGTCCAGCAAAATGCAGTCATTCTCCTAATGACTAGAAGATGGCTGTAGTGAGAAACATCTGAAGTAGTTGTGTTCACTTGAGTTGGGATGTCTGTCATTAAATTCTTTTAAAAATCCTACTGACTACTCAAGAAAATACTACTGTTATTACTACTACCGTTGGTACCCTAGACAGTATAATTAGTACTTCCAGAAAAGTCTGAAATAAACAAAATATGTTCCTTTTTTTTTTTGTTTTATATATAACCCATCTGGCTGCCACTTTTCATTCTTGTTCCTTATGTGTACGGTAGATTTTCATTAGTATTTAAAATTTTTGGCTGGGACTTCTTTTAGTAGAGAGTGGGCCTGAGTTTCAGTAAGAATTTTCTGAGGCAGTATCTGCACTGACTTAGAAGTACTGATTTTTTTATTTCCCATTTCTTCCCTCTGGCTGGATTGTAAAAGGTGGGCAATCACCAACAAAAGCATAGAATTATAATTGTAGCTCAGTGCAGACCTCTGTGTTTGTGACATTTCAACACGTGGAGGCAAAAAATTGGAGGAAAAGTTATCCTGGAAATACTATCTCTCTTATAATTTGCTGATAAAATTTCATGTACATTTATTTCTAATCGTCCTTTTTATAAACCCAAGTTGAGAAAAACAAAATTATTAGCAGTATGGAGAGTCTTTTATATGGGAATGGACTGCCTAGTGTAATGATGGGACACAATGCACATGCTCTATAAGCTTTCATTATATTTAGTCATATTTCAAGAAAGTTGTATATTTGGATTTTTATTAATAATTTAGATTACAGCCCAGCTTTGGCTATTGCTCAGATTTTTGCTGTGTAAACTTTTACATCAGTGGGAATTTTCATCTATTTTATACCTGGAGTTAAAATAAGAGAACTCGTAAGTGAACACTTAACTTCATGTTTGTTTGCAAAGTATATTATCCATTTAGTTATCTAAACCCATAAGCTACGTTAGGAAGAATCTAGACTAACTTTTTGTATGTAGTACGAGAAGGTACTCTGATATAGTGCAAGAAGGATCACTCAGTGTTAAAAAAAAAAAAGAAAAAAAACCAAAACATATGTTCATTATTCATCTGCCTTTGTAAGTTCACAGCTTGAGAAGTTTGGAAAGGTTGTGACTGCTCCCCTAAAGTTTCATTAAAGTCAGTGAAACCGGGATTTCGCTAAAACTGTTTTGTAGGTGATAATTTCAGGAGAAGCATTGCAGCTCTTTAGGGAATGAAATAGAGTAACAAATCATAACTGTAATGCATGATTACATCCATGTGTGAATAAGCAACAGACAGAGCATTCATCAGTGATTTAGAACATTATTCTTTGTACATCTTGGTTGCTTTTTTTCTATGGATGCACAATAGTACATTCAATATCCAAGAAGACCACTTAATTCTCAAGATTTTGCATCCTTAGGTGCACTAAAAGCTCTTCTTAATAACTGGAATGCCCAGTGACAAGTGAAGTACAAAATACGAACTCTTTTTAGTGTAGAACATAGAGGTGAAAGAATAAAATATGCTAATATCATTTTCTGAGTGAATAATTTTCCTGTGGGAATCATGAACTTCTCTGGGCCAAGGCAATTATTTCTAGCTTTTAATGAAACTCTCTGGGCCAAGGCAACTATTTCTAGCTTTTAATGAAACTCTTGTGAGGAAGTAACCCTTCTTGATTTACTTTTTGGTGTGTATGAAAAACTTTAACTTGATTTGGCTTCTTTTTTTTTTCTCTTGAGGACACCAAGTTAGTCTTCTGCAGTAGTGCAGCATTAGCTCCTTTATGTATTTTTATGAACTTTACAAGTTTTTTAGTAATGTTTAAAAATGCATACTTTTAGGAAGTTGAGGAGTTTTAGGAAGGAGTACTATGGCAGAAGAGATACCGTGATTCTAGTTGCTTTTCAGATTATACATAAATCACGATTGTCCTGGTTTGGGGTAGAACGGGGCTGGTTCTGTTCAATGATTTGACTACAGAGCTAAAGCTCTTCTAATTAATTGCTTTGTATGAAGTTTGCATTTTTGCAGACTGCCTGTTTTAATCAGTGATAAGACTTCATGTTTATAGTTACTGCCAGGGCTTGGTATGCAGACCAAGGCCATGCTGAGCTTGTATCCCACACGGAGGGGGGCAGGGAGCACCCCGCACCTGCGGGGAGGAGCGGGCAGGATAACTGACCCCAGGATTCACCAATGGGGTGTTCCACCCCATATCTGTCATAGCCAATAAAAGCTGAAGGATCAGGAGGGACAAGCCCTTCCCTTGCCCCTTGCGTATCCCTTCCTCCTTCTTCCTCACTTCGGCTGCTTCTGCAGTGGCTGGGACCCCCGGCGGGCCCCATCCAATCCCCCTCGGCTCCGGTACCCAGTCCCTGTCTGTGACTGAGTCCAGCCTGGGACCCCCTCCCTGGGGGCTGCTCCCCAGACAGGGGTGACGGTGACGTACTGCCATTTTGGGGGAAGGGGAGTTGGGTTTGATACTGGGTTCATAGAGATTTGTACATATTCCATTTTATTGTCATTATTACTATTATTATTAGTGGTAGTATTAAAGCTGTTTTCCTTTTCTAACCAGTAAGTCTCTCTCTACCTTATTCCCTTTCTCTTTACCTTTTGGTCGGGTGAGAATAGGAGTTAACAGAGAGTGTCGGGTTAACAGTTCTGAGGGTGGCCCTCACCCCAGACGGCGACAATGATGCATGTAGTTACTGTGAGATACTCATATTTTCATTTGTATCGTTCCACATATCAGGTGCAGCCATTTTGGCTGTTGTGTGATCTGCTTTCCAGCCGCGAGGGTGACATGTCAAAATTATGAGACCTAGGTCACTGTGCTAATACTGTAGAGTGATGTGGGTGTGAAAGGACAGAGGAAAAACGATCACTGTATGCAAAGAAGCCCTACAGAAAGTGTTTTTACTCTCCTCTCACAGCAGTTCTAAAACCATCATCACACAGAAACAGCAGCAGATACCTTTTCCTAACTTGATCTGATGTTTTGTGCTTTGTGAAAGTAAAGAAAAAGTGATATTTTCTGAGTCCTGTGCAGTACTACAGGGAGATGAGATACCTCCCTGTTTCTGGACCTTTAGGGTTTTGATTTTGAGAGAGGGAGGAGTTTTGATTTTGAGAGAGTTGGCTGTGGTTTTGGGTTGTGGGGGTGGGGAACAGGCTTTTTATTACTAAAGTATGTGGGAAGTGGAGGGCACTGATGTAGTTGAACTTAGATGTAACTTTTGCAACTTAAAATTTTTGGTTATTTTAGTGCCTTGGCAAAGTTTGCAGTTCACAGAAGTAATTACTTATAAATGAACCCACAAAAAATATTTAACTTAGCTCTGTGATCTTGCTTTTCAATGTAAAAAATAGGGGGGGAAAAAAATGTTCTGTCTGGCTTGCCCATTCCTCTGTTGCTCTCTCTCTTGAATTTGCAAATTAATGCAAAAGGAGCTTGTAAAGCAAGAGTGAAATAGAATCTGATTTACAGTGTAACAGCTATGTAAGTGTGAATACTTTACTTATGAAATATTAATTTGTCAGTAAAATAAGCAAGTAGAATGCCTGATATTAAAGAAAGTTCTGTCTGTGTCATACTGTGACTACACTGTGCATAAAACACTGCCCATCAAGGAAGCTTGAGAACAGAATTCTACATAGTATGAGTAAAATAAGATTCCGAAGTTTCTTTTCATGCATATACTTTTAGTTAAAATTAAAAGAAGGACCATGGGGTATTTTCATTGTTTGGCAATTTATTTTCAAAATGGAAAAGGATACCTAATGTCTTTTCTGCAAAAGCCTGTTTGTTCAGAAAGAATTAGTAGAAGTCAAATAAATGCCTGAGATAAATTCTCTATTTTTACTATATAATCCTGATAACCACTTAGATATTTCTCCTAATAAAATTTCTCCCAATTTTCTGTTCACTTAGGCTTCAGGCTCGAATTGCTCATAGAATCCAGGAACTGGAGAACTTGCCTGGTTCTCTGCCCCCTGATCTGCGAACCAAAGCTACAGTGGAGTTGAAGGCACTTAGGTTGCTGAATTTCCAGCGCCAGGTAATGCCATTTGCTTCAGGAGAATTCTCACACAAATCTCTCACAGCCAAATGCATTCATGTAGCAAAGAGTAAACTGGCAAGAGATTTTACAGCAGCAGTGAGACTGCTGAAATGCTGGGGTCTGAACCCCAAGCCCCCGAATTAAGGTTGACATATGGGTGATTCCCACAGCCCTTCATACAGAGGAGGTGAGTTTGCCTTACAGCTTCCCCCCAGGGTGCGGTCGGCCCTGCAGGGAGAGCCATAAGGGAAATGAGCCCCAGGGGTCCCGCATTGGGTTGACAAAGGTCAGGTGTCTGCTTGGGGATAAAAGCTGGGACCACTTACAGGGAGTCAGGAGTGTCTGCTCCACAGACCTTCGCAAACACGGGCTGATAGGGTGAGAATCACTATGTGGTCACCTTTCTCTTATGTTCTCAGCTTGCTGGTCTGGCTGTTTCCCATGCCAACTATGGGCAACCTCAGGTCTCTGTTTGTACCACCTGTTGTGGGCCGAGTCATGTCCTTTGTGGGATCGTTGGGGGTGGCATCGATTATGTACCAGCTGATTGATCTGTTTGTACCCCCAGCGATCATTCATGGAATGACCTTCTTGTCTACAATACAGTCTGTGTATTGGTGCATCTTCCTGCTGGTGGTATCATTTTTGTTGGGCCTGGTCATTGGCAAAACAGGCTGCGCAGGAGATTTTGCATGAGAGCAAAGTTGACTGATACTGCAAATGAGAGAAATGTTTAACTTACATTTTGTTCTGTTAATAAAAATACACAAGCGTTGTTTCTGCTTACTGATTTATCTTCCAGTCAAAATTGTAACGTGGCATTGGCACAAAGAGATAACAAGAGCTTAACAGGCTGCTAGCTGATTTTCAACACAAATCCTATAAGATAACTTTTTCTGGACATAGTTCACATTGGTCTTGGGTCCTGATGTTTTAGGAAGAGTTGTATGTTGGTGTTGTGGGTGGCATTTCTCTGTGACCTGGGATTCTCTGTTTTCAGGGATTTCCACTATGGTACAAAGACTTTGAAAATTAAGCATAACAAGGTCATACTTAAGATACAAGCTGGATTTTGAGTGTGTGTAATCAGCAAATTTTCTGAAAAGGAATCACACTGCCAAACTCTTATGGGCCTCTTGCCATTGGCTTTTCCAGCTAATTTGGAAGAACAAAGATGTGATTTGGCAGGTCAAGCAAAAATACTTCCTGACAGAAGCTTTGGCAGTAGTTGTACCATGATATCCAAGTCTTCCTTCCCTCTACCTTTGGCACTCCTTTTTAGTGAAGCTTTGTTAGAGGTAAATGGAAGGCAGCAGGCTCTCCCCGCTGTACTGCTTGGACTGTGGCAGTACTATTCCAAGCCTTTTACATTTGCCTCTCCCTGCTGTCTCCTGTGCAGCTGCCAATGAAACAAGTTGTCAGCTATGTTCAGGTCCAGCTCTAGAAAGTATGTTATGTGTAGTGTACATTTGTGTTTTACTTAGGTGGTGTAACATCATGGCTAGCCCATTTCATTGCAGTATCTTTTAAAGAAGGAGGAAACTGTGATTAAGAATGATTAACAATTTTGGCCATCCTGTGGAGAGTTAAGATTTGTTCAAGGAGATAGATGTAACTGCTGCAACTATATAGGTGCTGGATCTTTTCATAACTCTAATGGAAAGGGACAAGGAGGCTGCGACATCTGAACTGTTACTGTTTTACTCGGCTATATCGGTGTTTAAAGTTGTTCTTCCATGTATTAAAAACGATTTTTTTTTTTTAAGTGCTTCTTTTTTCTCACTGGTAGCTAAGACAAGAGGTGGTAGCGTGTATGCGTCGTGACACAACGCTGGAGACAGCACTGAACTCCAAAGCCTACAAACGAAGCAAGCGTCAGACTTTGAGAGAGGCCCGTATGACAGAAAAACTTGAGAAACAGCAGAAGATAGAGCAGGAGAGGAAGCGCAGGCAGAAGCATCAGGTACTTTGACTTGTTAGCTGTCTGCACCATGACAGAAATTCACCTTGCTTTTCTGCGCAGGTCTTCTCTACTGCCTACTTTATGTACCTTTGGAGTTGCTAGGATTAAAAAAAAACCCTCCAAATTATTTGATAAGGAATTGGAAATCAATATTAGAACTTCTGTATTCCTGATTTCAAATCCTGTGCTTTGTCCAATTGTCTGCACTAACTTGTTTCTTTTTCTAGGAATACCTGAATAGCATATTGCAGCATGCTAAAGATTTTAAAGAGTACCACCGCTCAGTTGCTGGGAAGATTCAGAAACTTTCTAAAGCTGTAGCAACTTGGCACGCCAACACTGAACGTGAGCAGAAAAAAGAAACCGAAAGAATTGAGAAAGAAAGAATGAGGAGACTAATGGTAAGGATTAGAAGAAAGAAAATGATTATTTTAGCTAAAATTACTTTCTGTGTCTTTAATATTTCCTACACAGTCTCAGCCACACACCTGTATTTCCTTTGCAGAATAAAGCCTCTGTAACACAAAATGTATAAATCTAAAACTGCTGCAGTTTCCTTATGTTTATTTCTGATAATGGTAGTTAATGAGACACTGTTCATTTTAACCTATAGATTCTTCTTTTTTTAAGTTTTTTGGTAACAACAATTGTCTTTTTACCAACAGGAAAATTTAGCACAAGCACATCTGTGTAACGTAGCTTAGTCTTATTAACTTCATGCACTAACACTGTTACGTAATTGCAGAGGTATTGGTTTGTTATACAAATAATGGACTGTGTTTTATTTTAGGTTTATAGTTTTGAATATTCCACATGGTTAACTTTTTCATGGCATTACTCTGAAACTTTTGCATAAAGCTGATTTCACATGCGAAAACACACAACCAATAGCAGTAATGCATGTATCTTGAGAATTAATAGCAGTCAGTTCTACCCATTAATGCTTCAGGACCATACTCCTGCTTGCTATTTCACAGTTTTCCCTTCATTTCACCTGCACAATATCAGTAGTGTCTTTCTTAGGACAGAATAGAATGGGTTTGCATATAACCATATCTTTTAAGAATACTGCAGAAGCAGTCAGTGAGCTGCCTACATTTTAGGATTTGAAATCATTCTGGAATTTAAAGTACAGACAAATTAACATGTATGTACAAGTATGTTAGCAACCGGGGTTGGAGAATTTTCTTCAAGACATTGTTTAGCTCTCTTTTTAACACTGTATTAACACTTTACTAACATAGAATTGAACAGAAATTGAAGTACTTTGAAAAATATGCTGGTGGAAAACAATATGTATCTCGTATAAGTAAAAAATTCAAATCCCCATCCAGAGTATGTTCCCAATATGAATAAAGACTGAACAGTTTGGTTTTAAAAGTCACAAAATTACATTTAGAAATAATTAAATATAAAAATGATAAAAACTTAGAAATAAAGCTGCATGTAAAACATAAATGAGGGACCTGCATGGGAGAATAACAAATGTTTAGGCCCAAGACCATTTCTTCCATTTATGTAAAAATCAGCATTACAGAGTTTTTTTGTAACTAAGAGGTAATTGCCAGCAGTCTGTCTGTGAGTGCATAAAAATGTTAATTATTAGAGGGGAAAAAAAAGCTGATTTTAAAAAAAAAAAAAAGGAACCTTGATATTTTAGAAATATTTTTGTACATTTTAAGGTTGAGCTTGTGTCAGTCCAATGTACTCTGATATCTGTGTACTGTGATAATAAAGATGTCTACTGCTAAAAAATACAGAATAGTTTGGACGTCCAGAAGTAGCATGGGAACCAAATCTTCCAGAATAACAGTGTTTTCTCTTATGACGCCTTCACCAAGGCTGTGGTTAAGCTCTTAAACATAGATAGAGCACTTCAAAGGCATTTTTAGTTTGGGGCCTAAGACTCTGAAATCTTTGCCCCTACTGCTGAACTACATCCTTCTGCAAAAGTAAACTGTGTGTTATGTTAGTGAGATTATTTTGCCTATTTAGTTTTAATCCAGTTGTGATAAATCTTGAATTTGCAGATATGTACTGGGGACTTTTACAAACATCTTCTCTTCTGAGGCGCTTGGTGTGATCTACCAAAATATGCTGTGTCTAAAATTGTTCACAAGTCTTTTCAGGAACACTGATTCGATTCACAGATTGTCTTTCATTGATTATGATTAGAAACGGTGATTCTGTCACAGGTTATTAAATGTAGTATGTAACATATGCAGGAACGGGCATTGGTATGACTTAAAAAGATACTGCCAAGGCAAGCTTGAATGCATAAAGGAAGTGCCTTGGCTAGGTTGGAATTACTTTGTATTCAGTAATAGTAATAATGATAATAAATAGATCAGTCTAGGAGTTTAGGTGTTGAATATTGTAGTTCTGATGGCTTGAACGTTATAACTGAATTTTACAAGCAATTTTGCAAGCTCAGTTTGAACATTACAGCTCTTCTTGCCAACTTTCTCTAATACTGGTGTCCCTGCAGAAAGGCATGAGAGCTTTTGTATCTCTGAGTGCTGTGTTTTGGAGTAATCATCTTTAAAATATTTCTCATTCATGTTTGGGTTTTATAAGACATCATATACTTCCTTTTTTTTTTTTTGTTGTTTTATCGAAAATTGACAAAGGCATCTCTGCTACTTTCCTTGTATTTTTTCTGACATGTTCAAATACTGCATTGTATCTTATATATATAGCACATGAAATAGTATTTCTTGATATGTCTTACCCTTAACAACACACTTACACAGTGCCATAGGGATGCAGAAGTTACCAGAACGACACATAGATACGGCTTATCTGGTGAATCCTGTCTCTGATAGTGACCTGTGTCAAAGATGAAGTAACACCAGAGAATAATCTGCCCAGAAGAAAAGTTTCTTCTAACGCCTGAAAGAAAACTATTTGTATGCATAATGGAAAAAGCACTAAGCAAAATTTCACATGTTCTTCCTCTGAGTATGGGCTGCTGGCACTTTGTCCTTGACAAATTGTCTGTGTAGGCAACTCACCAAGCATCTCTGTTTTGGAACATTGTAATCTGTTCGACATGACATTAAGTGGTTGGGTGTTTTTTCCCTCCTTTCTTGTGATAACTGCCACAGATATTCCGATGATTTGTCCATGAGAGTAGGAGATACTTAGATTCGTAGAGTCCTCGAATCCCAGAGTCGCTCAGTCTGACAGGAAGCTCTCTAGTCCAACCACCTTCCCAAAGCAGTGTCGACACTGAGTTCAAAACAAGTTACTTGAGGTTTTTTCAATCATGTCTTGAAAACCTCTAAGGTCAGGAATGTCACAACTTATCTGCCTGTTCAGGTCCGTCTGAAGTGCAACCCAGACCTTGAGAATGTAACTAGCACCTTGCAATTCTGTGTTATTTGCAAACTTTACTAGAGTGGCCTCCATCCCTTTCTCTGGGTCACTGGTAGAGAAGTTAAACTCAATGTGTGCAACTGTGGTCTCTTCCTACTCTGTGATTCTGCTCTACAGAGTGTGGGACCACACATGGAATACTGTGTCCAGCTCTGGGTTCCTCAGCACAAGAAAGACATGGACCTGTTGGAGTGGATCCAGGAGAGGGCCATGTAGATGATCAGGGGGCTGGAATACCAGTGTAAGACAACAGGCTGAAAGAGTTTGGATTTTTCAGCCTGGTGAAGAGAAGGCTTCCAGGAAGACCTTGAAGCAACCATCTGGTACTTAAAGTGGGCCTATAGGAAACACGAGGAGGGACTCTTTATCTGGGAGTGTAGAGACAGAATAAGGGTAGTGTTTTCCAACAAAAAGAGGGTAGATTTAGATTAGATAGAAGGAAGAGACTCTTTACTTAGGGGTGGTGAGGCACTGAAACAGGTTGCCCAGAGAAGCTGTGGGTGTTCCCTGCCTGACAGGGTTCAAGGCCAAGTTGGGTGTGGCTTTGAGCAACCTGGTCTAGTGGAAGATGTGCCTGCCTGTGGAAGGGTAGCTGAAAGCAGGTGATGTCTGAGGTTTCCATCCCAAACCATTCTATGGTTCTGTGGGCCATGAACACAAATGGATCATCTTTTGGGTCTGATCATCCAAGGAGTTCTTTGCCCATGTGGTTGTATCCCTACGCAGATACTCATAACAACCTAAGGTAACACATTATTGACATAGGAGTTGATTGGTGTTTCTTTGGTGGCATTTCTGTCATGGATGATGTGTCTTTTGTATTGCTAGGCTGAAGATGAGGAAGGCTACCGTAAGCTGATTGACCAAAAGAAAGATAGACGTCTGGCCTACCTATTGCAGCAGACAGACGAGTATGTGGCCAACCTGACCAACCTGGTTTGGGAGCATAAACAGGCACAAGCAGCCAAAGAGAAGAAGAAGAGAAGGAGAAGAAAGAAGGCAAGTAGTTACAGCTGGTATTTTTAGCCTATCTCATCTTCAAATCCAGTTTTAATGTTGGTAAATGTAGTGATACCAAACTGTCGCACACATGCCAGAGCATCTAAAATAATCTGCATTGTCAGATTCATAACACTGAGGGAACTCATCTCTCTTCACTGAAACACAGAAGAAATTTGCTGTCATTAATTTCAAAGAAGGTAAGAAGGAGGCATGATTAGAATACTCTGGTCTGTTAACATTTGATTTGCTGATAAACTTTCTACAGGCATAATTGGGCCAGACATGTAAATTAGGATTCAAGTATCCAAAAAGAATCCAATGGATCCAAAATACATTGTGTGAAAAAGTCTAGTGTGTAGCTGTTTCATGCAGGGTAGCTTTTTTAGAACTCTTCATTCTACACTTGGCTCAGTCTATTTTGTAGGAGCACTGGACCCTACTGGGGAGAAAGCACTTGGTCAGGTTCATTACAGTAAATGAGTGTTGTGCCAGCATTCACTCCATGTTCTTAACACTTAACTGAAGCTTTTCAAAATTACCTTTCTTTGTATAAGATATTTTACCCTCTGAAAGAGGCTTGTGGTAACTGAACAATGCTATTATTAAAAAAAAAATTCTGCGTACAATAATCATTAAGTAATGATTTGGCATTTTTTGTGACCTCTGAGTTCTTTTAATCTCTTGCAAGATGGATAAGAGGATTTTTGTAATCCATTTTCATGCCTGTTTTGCTGCTAATTACTGATACAAATATAAACATATTTCATGATTTGCAGACAGCACTCTAAATATGCTAATAAATATCAGCATATAAAAAACTTTAATTTTGGAGACTCATGGCCTAAAAAATGCTCAATGTTTACTCCTGTCCTCTCCAAAACATCTGTTCTTTTTGGTGAGAGTCTGTTCTTAACATAGGAACAATCCCCTGCCTACAAAGTTAAGATGTGACTTCAGTGGAGTTCTTGTCCTGTATTACCAGTGAGAGCAGGCCTGATTTAATGTATGGAATTCACAGTAGTGATTATCCTTAATGAGGTAGTGTATGGAGTAAATTCATTGCTCTAATGCAAAATATTAACTCCTTCAACAACCCAAAATCATGATAGGGTTCTGTTTCTGTGTCAGTTTAGCTGAAATATGTAAAAGAACAGTATTTTCTGGCTATGACAATAAGACAATTTTCTGATACTGAAGTAAAATGGCAATATGCCCCATAAATATTCAGTGCTTATGTATATCCCAGCCTAAAACCTAAAGGAAGATTATCAGAAAAAAATCTCAGCTCCAACTTGATCCTCTCCAGCTTTTTGTTTATAATCAAGTTCTTTCCATCAAGATAAGCTTTTGTTTGTCTGTCAAGGATACAGGAGCACACACAAATAACACCCTTTGTTCTAATTTAAAATTCTGTGATGTCATTGCTGGGTGGCTGCAGCACTCATTGAAGTTAGTGGGCATTGTTGCCTCCCAACAGGGAGGTGATGGAGTCATTCTTGGAGGTGTTCAAAAAACAAGTAGATGTAGCACTTGAGGCTGTGGTCTAGAGGTTAGAGAGACGTTAGGAGGAAGGTTGGACTTGATGATCGTAGAGGTCCTTTCCAGCCATAGTGATTCTATGATTCTATTGTGTCTTTATCCAAGTCTTTTAATACTTAACCCTCTATGTCTTATAATCCATGCAAAGAATTAAAAAAAGCTGCCTCCTAGTTATTTGTCAGACAAAAAAAATGATTGTGTAAATACCAGAATAAAAGTACTTGCATGAATATACAATCTGTGATGCCTGGTGATGCCTCTAAAACTGAGATGAAGGCACTTTAGGGGAAATTAATAATAAATCACATGAAAATCAATTACTATTTTATTTGTATCAGCACAGTTTGTAAGCAGCTGAGCTCTAGGTCTGGACCAGAAATTCAGTAGGTCAGCCACTTCTTTGGTGCAGATTTATTACAGGGACTAGAAACATTTTAATTACACTATGCATGCTAGTAAATGATTTGCATGTGTGGTAGTAACTCTATGCCCATCTCTACCTTCATCCACCCCCACCTTAAATTATGTGCATCTCTGGCTATTCAGAAATAAGAGTGAAATATAGTCCGAAATGCTTAGATTGCATAAAGTATTCTTGCTTTACTTGTAATCTGACTGTGTTATTTTCCACTTCTTCGTTTGTTGTAGAAGGCTGAAGAAAATGCAGAAGGAATGGCATCTAGTCTTGGTCCTGATGGAGAGGTATGAATTTTACAAGTTTTTTGTTTGTGTTTTTTTTTTTTTCTTTAAAAACTTTCTAGTGATTTTTCAGTGTATCATTGCTATAGCTTAAAAAAAGTCAAGACCACAAATTTCTAAAAAAACCTGTTGTTTATAACCGGGAATGAAAATTAGCTAGATTAACATTTATGCTAGCCTGTTTTGCTTCAGAAAGCTGAAGACTAGAAGAAGAATATATTGAACCTGTCACTGAGTATGCTGTAGAATCCCTCTCAGCTTTGTTATATACTTAAAAATAAATGGTTTTCTTACCATCTGTGTGTAGACATAATTTACTTTCTATAATGAGGTTGTAAACACAATGTATTTTATCACCTCTTTTTTATAAAATAGATTGTTGACATTACATGTAATTGCCTCTCACACAGGACAGACTATAGTAACATGATGGCTTAATACATCTGAAAATTTCTTTTTCGGAAGTAAATTCAAATAAGTAATTTTTTTGTCATTCTTTGGATAATATTTTTCATTCTGTAGCAAAGCACATGCTGCCTCATTAAAAGCTATTCTGATAATGCCATTTTCCTATTCCACTTTTATATAAAAAGACTTTAGAATTGTATTTATTGTTTTACTTCTGGTCTTCCACTTGCAATTTTCTCTCTTTTTTTCTTTCACTTGATATTTTTGTTTGCTGCGGTATTTAAGAGAGTTAGAGCAAAATCCTTTAATGTATTTATGGCTGCCAAAGGAAAATGCACGTAACAGTCCTGTAAATTCAGTATGTATGGAATTAGGGTTTTCTACTCAGTCACTGTATATTTAACTGTTCAGAATTAGTTTTTCTTGTTCATATATGTATGTAATAGGAAAAGATTCTTCAGTGGAAGCAGTAGTAAATGGCAGAAACTCTTAAAAGTAGAAAATCTGTGATTAGACAGGGGAAAGAAATAGCAGGAAAAATAATTCTGATATTCTGGTTTTCTTAGAGCACCAGAATAAGTAAAAGGTTTTGTTGGCGATGGTGTTTTATCAGCTTAATTGCAGAAGTAAAGACAGCGAATCTTTAAAATATGTTGTCTTTGCTTAAGAAGTTAGCTAAGTAGTTATATCCTTTTTTCTCCATCTAAGAGAGGTCATAAGATTAATGTATGTGGTTTTGTTAGCTGTCTGTTCGTATAAATAGCAGGATTAAATGCCTGTGGGACTACATACCTTGTGTATTGTTTCATAGAAGCCAACAGTGTATTCTTTTCCATACTGCTCTTGTTAATTTGGAATACTGTGATACATTTGTGCATGTCACATAGAATATGCTACACAGAGTAATACTGTGACTCAGTGTTTGCTTGATAGCCATGTGGGAACATGTGGCTTATAATAACAAAACTTCAGTGCTTGTTCAGCTGTGGAATTTTGAAGGTGCCATTAGTTCTTTTTATTATGTATGACAAGCATGAAATTCAGTTGCCTGATGGTATAAAATGTCATTTGAATTTTTAGCCCATAGATGAGAGCAGTCAAATGAGTGACCTTCCAGTCAAAGTGACTCACACTGAAACAGGCAAAGTTCTTCTTGGACCAGAAGCACCAAAAGCAAGTCAGCTGGATGCTTGGCTGGAAATGAACCCTGGGTAAGTAGTTAACATACAAATAAGCTGCTGCTTCTTTTTGCATTGGTATTTTTCATGGACTTTTCTTAGTTATTCTGTATTCTATTCTATTCTGTTCTAGCCTATTCTAGCCTATTATATTCCAGCCAGTTTGATTCCAGCCTATTCTGTTATAGCCTATTCTACCCTGTTCTTCTTTTAATTTATTATGTGTAGGCTGAGGAGGAGATGTATTGAACCTAACCACCCCTCTTGTTATTTGCAATTCATAACCTTTCTTTCACCTTTATACAGCTATGAAGTTGCTCCCAGGTCAGACAGTGAAGATGAAAGTGGCTCTGAATATGAGGAGGAGGTATGTGTCTGTAAATCAAGTATTGTGACAAGTAATGCAGTAAAAAGCAAGTACTTATTCGATGTGATATTTTCTTCTTTTTCATAAGGAGGGAAGGAAAAGAGATGGCAGGTGTGTAGGTGTTTTAAGAATAATACAAACAGGAAAAGTAACTGATACTGTAATTCTTCTCAGTTCAAAGCAGTTTGCCTTTGTATATGCTGTAATTGTCTAACTGGTAAATGGGGTTAGGAAAACTAAATGTTTTACTCTTGACTATTAATAATCATGAGCCTGAGAATGTAAGTGGGTTCTTATTTTTAAAACAGATGTTAGAAAAGGCTATGTTGTGGCTTTGTGCTGCATGAAATTAGCGCCTTTAATGCATTGGAGGTTTTATTGGCAATTCTGAGAAAGACAGTTATTATTTATATGTTATGTTTATTAAAAAGTTAGAGATTATGTCAAGGGTTTAGGTTCAGACTCTTCAGTCTAGGCTTGTTTGATTCAGAACTTCAGTGGTGATTTAAATACTATTATTATGAAAATTCTTTTAAAAATCTTAAAATTAACACACACAAAGATCCCACCTCTGCAGGGTCATAATATTAGAGACTTTGAATAATCAATATCAATACTTGCATAGCATTTTTCAGATAAGTACTTTCTAAAGGAGAGAAAAACTACAGAGTAGAGAAGGACCATGTTCAGTCAGCAGGCTGAACTAGGTGTAGAATTCAGACCTCCTAAGTCTAGCATTCTTTATAGCACTAGACTGAATGACCACTGAAGGTGACTGGACTGTATGGCATTCAGGTACATTTCTTTGTGCAACTCATTATTGCCAATGTAATTCTGTAAGATTCTCAGTATTAAGGTAGGAGGTAAAGCCTTTGTACCTGTCAGATTCTAGGAGGAATGTTCAAAGGCATTTGCCCATGTTTTTAGCACAGATACTTTATTGGTAATGTTGTTTAGAGCTAGGGAAGTCGTTCTGAGCTGAATACACTTGCAGAGCTCAGAGCAGTGTTTTGTTCAGCTTCCTTAGTAAAATTTCAGGTTGTTGGTTATCCATTGCAAGTGTAGCCAGAAGACTTGTTACTTTATGAAAAGAAAGAATGCTGTCTGTTTTAAAAAAGACTAGAAATTAGAAGCCTAAACCAGCAGTTCCTGTGCAGATCATGTATCTGCGGTATGATATAAACTTATGCATGGTATTGGATTCCTCTGCAGAGTAAGATGTATAGAAATAAGATTATGAAATGGGAAAATACTTTCTTTTTCAAGTATCATGAATTCCTGTTGGTTAATGTATGTCAAAAATTACCTTCTTGTTATGCTGCAGTAAAATTCTGTTGCTGAATAAGTGTTAAGCTGAACTCTGTGATTGAGGTTTCTCTCATAAAACATTGACCAATGAATGCCAGTTGAAAGTATGACTTAGGAAGATGTTGCACTTCCTAGTATTGCCTTTTTTTTTTTTTTTTTTTTTTTTTTTGTATTCTGTAGGATGATGAAGAAGAATCAAGCAGGTTAGAGGCAGATGAGAAGATACTCCTGGATCCTAACAGTGAGGAAGTTTCTGAGAAAGATGCAAAACAAATCATCGAGTGAGTGTTCTTTAGGTGCTGGTTTTTGCAAGGAATTGTGCATTCTTACAGTGGCATTTCACAAGCGTAGCTTGCTCTAGATCACAGTGAGTTGTGGTAGGTTCTCTGGCATGAAAATCTGCAGGAGATGATAATTTGGTGTTTATGAAGTAGCTTGTACCCTTTGGTATACTCACCACAGCTGGGGATCTGCACTGTTTCTTCAGACGTACATATGTGAGCTGTGGTCAAAAGTGTTTGTTGGTGGGAGTTCATTGTAGTTCTTCTTGTGCTTTCCAGGACAGCCAAACAAGATGTCGATGATGAATACAGCATGCAGTACAGTGCTAGAGGGTCTCAGTCTTACTACACTGTTGCTCACGCTATCACAGAAAGGGTTGAAAAGCAGTCTTCTCTTCTTATTAATGGCACACTAAAACATTATCAGGTGAGAAAACATTAGATCATTAAAATATGTAAAACTTGGAATTATGCTGAACATTTCAATGTGGTATTTCAAGTGACAAACTGAAAATGTGCTAAGAAATACAAGATCCCTGGTAGGTTAGAATTTGGGAATTATATGAACAAAGCAGTGACAGTAACATATCTACGTTACTGTCATACGTAGTTCATGAATAATAATACCAACTTCCTGCATATACCTGTAACTTTTTTACAAAAGGTTTAGACTGGTTGTACAGAAGAGGACCATGCTGCTGTGGAGCAGGAGCTCAAATAGGTTTTGCATAGGAAGTTTTTAAGTGCTGATTTTGTAAACCCTTAAACAACCCAGACCCAAGGCTGGACCTACCTTGGCCAGAGGATTCGCCTAGAAATTTGTTCAAAACTGAATAATCACATGATCCCACTTGTTCATAGCAAAATTCTATCTGAATTCGAACTCTGTTGTTGTGAATCCTTAGCACTTCTGGGTGTCTCAGTGTGAGCCCGCACCAAAAAGAGAATGTGTAGTTCAAGGACTCATTTTGAACGTGACAGGTTAAATAGCTTTTCTGGCACTATAGAGAACTCTGTGACGAAGGCAAGATAAGAGTTCAACCATATTGAAAAATATGCCACTTTCTCACCTATGGTGCCCTCTTTATTTTTGCTACCTCAGTGCAGTGTCAGTATGTTGTCTAGCTTGTGCACCCCGTGAAGCAGGGAGCCAGCAGATGTGGTGGGCAGCCTTCTTTACTGCATAATCCTGATTCATTGTCTGGGAAGGTTTACCTGATGTATGAAAGGAATAGTGTATAACAGGAGTAATTTGATGGTCATATTGTCTAAAAGTGCTCATGGATGGGAAATTAAGATTATTATAGTTCATTTACTTTCTGAATTGCAATTGCATATGGAGCATAGAAATATTGTGAAATGATGCAAATCTTTGGTTTTCATTGCAATTTCCCTGTGTGCCACAAAGCAAAATAATTCAGTCTGTGCACTTATGCAGACACTCAGAGGGTTTTCTAATTGGAATAGGTCCTTTAGCTCCTCAATGTTATATCTATCAATTGAATAAGTAGATTTGTTCTTTATGTTGTCTATTCTATACAGTAATTGCACCAGAGGCAAGGGGGATGCTTTTCTAAGGAGCTTTGTTTGGACTATTGAGGGTTGGCTTTGTTTCTAGCAAGAATGTTCTGAAGGAGGCTGTTCCATGACTTTCCACTGCCTGTATTTCCCTATCATCTAGATTGTACATGATTTTCCCTTCTCAGCTTTTTTTCTGCTTTTCTTTGTTTCTTACTTTCAAGTTCAGTCAGATTGTCTCTTCCTTCATATCTGTATATGTAAGTAGAGAAGGTTCAATAACATAGAAATGACAGTTTTCCTACTCTTAATTTTGAAGCTACTTTGTAGGTGGGACGTACAGTTGCAGAACAAATTCTGATCTGCTCTTGGTGGCCTGAGCATTTAATACCTAAGTATAAATCAGTCAGCATGTACATAAAGCCAGGAAATTGGTAACATCGTTTGGAATACTCTCTTGCAGGGACAACAGAAGGTTTCTTCTGGCATGTAGTGTTTTCTCTCTGAACTTTTCTCTCTGTGCATGAGACCCAACAGAAGTCTGGATCTTGGAAGCAAAACTTTACTTTGCCCTTGCATGAGTAATGTGATACACACCTGTGTGGCAGTCTGTGTGGCAAGGGAATAATCTGAGTCAGTGCTTTCTAGCAGTATGCCTTTGAGTGTGAAAATCTGTTATGTAGATGTTTCTTAGCTACAGTATTCTGGCCTCCTTCCAGCTCTGCGATTTTATACACAGGACATAACTGGACAAAGGGGCTTAGTCTGACATGTGAAGATATGGATGCAGACACTAAATGGACATCTGCTACACGAGCTTTAGAGTGCCAGTGATGCAGTTGGCAGTTGTGAGGCTTACATGTTTTGTGCAGACTTGATGGGTTTGGTTTTGGAAGATTTTAATCGACACAGGCGAATAGCATGAATACACACAGAAAGTTTAACATTTGACAGTGTTGAAATTGAAATGTAATGTTGTAATGATAAGCGTTTATCATCCTTACATGTGAGCGTCTGTGTTGCTTTGTGTGCAGTATAAAAAAAACCTCCTTGTATGAAATCTGACTTCATGTTATGGGCTCTGCTAAACAGGAGTGATGATTCCCATATAGCTATTACCAGAAATTTATCTTGTTCTGTTGGGGTTTGTTTTTGAGAGGGGAGAAAGGTGTTTAAGTTAGCCAAGGATCTCAGTGCATATAGTAGTATTAAAGGAAATCCAACATTTAAGTAGGCAGGGACATCAGAACCTTGGTTCTGTAGAAGTTGTGTTAATCATTTCTGTGAGTTTTAAATAACTGAAACTATTGTTCTTCATTTCAGCTCCAGGGACTGGAATGGATGGTTTCACTCTATAATAACAACCTGAATGGAATTTTAGCTGATGAAATGGGACTAGGGAAGACAATACAGACTATTGCACTCATCACTTACCTGATGGAGCACAAAAGACTCAATGGTCCCTATCTCATCATTGTTCCCCTCTCGTAAGTAAATTATCTCTTTCTGCTATTATAATTCTAAGCATTGCAGATTGGTTTATCTGGAACACACTTGTTTTTCATGTAGTGACAGGGTGAGGTGCACAGTTCGGTTACACTGAGCATGTGTTTGGTGTTTTCTTTGATCATTTCTTCACAGGTAATTGTCTGTCGTTGGAATGGTGATGAGAAGCCTGATAATGCATTAGTGTTACTGTCCACTCCTGGCAAACTAAGTAGTGAATTTACTGTAATTCAGTCTTAAGCCACAAGAGGGGGATGTTATTTCTTTCATGTTACGTGCCCGCTGTTCTCCATGCGGACTTAACTGTGATACTAAATTCTGATGCCTAATTCTTGAAACAGCTAGCAGCCCATCTGATACCACGTAATTATGTTTTATTGGTTTTGAAGATGTTTAATTGGTTTTGAAGAGGCCCCTGAACACGGGCTGAAAGAGAGTTTCACAACTTTTACTCCTGTCTCAAAGATGTATTTTATTAGGGTATATAAAGTGCATTTTTAAAAATATTCTGTTAATTATGGGGGTTGAACACATCAAGCGTGCTGAAAGCTGAAAAATGCTTGGAAACATTCAAGAAGTCTGACCTGCAAATGATGAAATATATCTTTTAAATAAATCTATATATTTTTTCTCTGTAATCTGTATCATAGGACTTTATCCAATTGGACATATGAATTTGACAAATGGGCTCCTTCTGTGGTGAAGATCTCTTACAAGGTTTGATTTTCTTTTTATATGATTATAGAGTTGAAGGCAAGAGAATGGAGCCAGTTTTTGCTGCTGTATGCATTTGAAAACTGTTTGCTTGTGAAGTTTTGTCATGTATGTCATGTGCTAAGCAGTGAGAGTTAATCATACTGAGAAGCCTGTAATAAACTATAATTACTTTCACATAATGAAATGCAGAATAAAACGTTAATTATCACATTGCAAGGCTTCTGATGAAAGTAATACAAATGATAACTACTTCAAATTTTATATATGTAGCTGAATACATTGCTAAATGGATACGGTAGTGATGGTATGGACAAGCAGATTTGTAAGGAGACTAGACCTCTAGCTGCACATTTCCAGTGCCCCATAAACAGAGCTTTATGATTAGAGGGAAGGCACACTGAAGAAGCCTGGAATGTGTCAATATGTTGTTTACAATACTGTAGCATTAAAAGTTCATGTGGTTGCTCTGTGTCTGCTAATTTATAAAAGCAATATATTTTCTTCATCTGAAGAAGGAATAACCACTCACTTCTATTTCTCTTTTAGGGTACACCTGCGATGCGCCGCTCACTTGTTCCGCAGCTTCGAAGTGGGAAATTTAACGTTCTTTTAACTACATACGAGTATATAATAAAGGACAAACACATCCTTGCTAAGGTAATAATGACTGCTATCTCTTAACAGCAGAACCTTCCAGACACCTTCAAGTGGTACAAAACACATTTTTTGTTTTTAGGGAAGTCCTGAGTTGTTATCTTGTCCTTCAAGAAGAGTTAAAACTTTATTTACTTTTCTGTTCCTCTGTTTATGATTGGACTTCTTATCACGGCTCTTCTCCCTGTGAACATCAGGATTTTCCTGAAAGCATCCGGGAGACTAATTTCTCTGTGCAGTTCTGTCAGTACTGTATACCAGCCTCTCCTTGGAAAAGCATTATTTTTCTCCCCTCTGCTTAATAGCATTTAACCTAATCTGCAGTCCTAACTTTCATTTTTTTTCCATTGTTTATGACCTGAAGCTAACTCAGATTAGATCCTTTCCAGCTCTGTGGTCACGTTTACCCAAATGTCTAAATGGTTACTTGTACATGAATTTTGTATCCAGGCTTTTTATTACACATGGCTCAGTTCTTAGGGGCTCACTAACTGTCAACAGGTGTGCTTCAGATGTAATGAATTAATTAGAAAGCTGCTCTACTGTAAGACTGTTTCATGTACACACAAAGCATACAAAGGAGGTATTTTACCATATGGAGAAACCATACGGTCCTACTGTCACTTTATTTTTGATATTCGTTTTATTTCATTCTGTGACATACTGTATATTTGGATTTTTCTGCACTGATACAAAGGCAGTGCATTTTCTTAGCATAATTCTGAACACTGAGAACAGTTTGAGACTGCAGATTTTTTCTTCGTGTCTTTTTTGCTTGCCCTAGCACTGTGCTGTTCATCCCTTCCTGAAAAATGGAATTAGTAGCACCTGTGAAAGTAGAAACTGAGGCCTTCCCAGTCATATGGTCAGTGTGGCACTTGTGTTGACTGGCCATGTTGTAGTAGAGGTGGTAACAGCTTGAGGAACTTTCTTTCAGCATCTGCTTTGTCTGCATTAAAGCTTTAACATTAAGAAATAGAAACTTTATTTGAAGCTGCAGTGACTGGTATGAGATGATTGTAATTATACTGCCTTGTTCTTGAGTGAAAACACAGAAGTAGCTGAAACAAGATTCAGATTGCTGTTGCTTTTGAGTGCAGTTATTGTGTGTGAAAATGCTTTTGTCTCCAGTTAAGGTGGTTGTTGCAGACAGGTTTATCTGGAGTTTATGTGGCCTCTTTCTTCCCCTGTGAGCCATATTCTGGCCTTGAAGAGCCAGCCACCCTAATCTCTTACCCAGATGTGGAAGGAATCTGGTGTTTGCTATTGCAGCTGAATTCAGCATTCAGTATCAAATTCAGGATTCCTAGTGTTTCTATTTTTCCTGTTTGCAAGGGCAGTGGTACTTGTATAATGCTTGATTTGTCTTTTCTCATAAATGACAATGACTGGTGTCTCAGGCTTGAAATATTTTTTGTGCTACACCTGTTGGGAGAAATTTGACTAAGTCTGACCTGCTCTAACTTTGCCAACTTTCCTTCTTTTTCTTGCAGATTCGATGGAAATACATGATAGTAGATGAAGGCCATCGAATGAAGAACCATCACTGCAAGCTGACTCAGGTCTTGAATACTCACTATGTAGCCCCTAGACGAATACTGCTGACTGGGACTCCACTGCAGAACAAATTACCTGAACTTTGGGCTCTTCTCAATTTCCTGCTCCCAACCATTTTCAAGAGCTGTAGCACCTTCGAACAGTGGTTCAACGCTCCATTTGCCATGACTGGAGAAAGGGTACTGTGTTTTTTTTTAAAAACACAACAGTTAGAAAAGAGAAAGAAGTTTATACAGAAGGATTAATGTTTGAACTCTCCCTGTAACTTAGGGAATTAATGTAACTTGTAGCTACCTTTTTATAATGCCAGAAAATTCTAATATCAGTTGTCTTTTTTGACTCGGAGTCAGTTTAGTTGTAACATGCAAAATATTATTGCACCTTTCATGTCAGAGAATCATAGAATCACTATGGTTGGAAATGACCTCTAAGGTCAAATCCAACCTTCCTCCCAGCATTTCCCTAACCACTAGGGCACAGCCTTAAGTTCTAGTTTTTTTGAATACCTCTAGGGATGATGACTCTTACCACCAAACTGGACAACCCTTTCCAGTGCCTTACCACTCTCTCAGTGAAGAAATTCTTCCTAATATGCAATCGAAACCTCCCTTGGCACAACTTGAGGCCATTTCCTCTCATCCTATCATCAGTAATTTGGGAGAATAGATCAACACCAGCTTCAATGCAACCTCCTTTTAGGTAGTTGTTGAGAGCAATAAGGTGTCCTCTCAGTCTCCTCTTCTCCAGACTAAACAACCCCTGTTCACTCAGCTGATCTTTTTTCAGCCCTCTCACCAGCCTTGTTGGCCTTCTCTGGACCCACTCCAGCACCTCAATGTCCCCAGCACTGAGGTCAGGCTGACAGGCCTGTAGTTCCCCAGATCCTCCTTCCTGCCTTTCTTGTAGATGGGCGTCACATGGGCAAGTCTCCAGTCATCCAGAACCTCCCCTGTTAACCAGGACTGATGGTAAATGATGGAGAGAGGCTTGGCAAGTTCGTCCACCAGCTCCCTCAGATCCTCTTGGGTGGATCTCATCCAGCCCTATAGACTTATGGCTGTCCAATTGGTTTAGCAGGTCATTCACTCCTATTTCCTGGATTATGGGATTATTCTCATCTTTAGTCTTTAGCCTGATCTTTAATGTCTTTAGAAGATATTACCTAATATACTGAGTTGCCTTGTAGTGACTTTTATAAATTTCTGTAGGTGGACTTAAATGAGGAAGAAACTATTCTGATCATCCGTCGTCTCCATAAGGTGCTGCGGCCTTTCTTGCTGAGAAGACTGAAGAAAGAGGTTGAATCTCAGCTGCCAGAAAAGGTTTGGAATGAGAGGAGTTGTGGAAGGGGTTTAATACTTTTTTTAAGCATTATATAATATTCCGTTTTCAGATTTATTTTACAGAAGAGGACTTCTTCAGCATCTGTTACTACTGTGGTTTGATTTTTTTTAACTCTGCAAAGAAAGATGGCCACTGAGGAAGCCCGAGTACCTGAAGTATCTGCATTCTCAAGATTCCTCACTAGTCTTACAGTTTAATTCTGTTTTTAGTCAGCCATATAGGACGTGCAATTTAGTTCCATGATACGTGGTTTCAAGCTGTGAGTCAGCCATACGCTGAGGATTAGATTCTTACTGTCCCATCCTTCCTGCACCAGGTAGAACCTTTGCTTCCTTAGCTAGTTTGCTGAAATTGTTAAAGAACTACTGGACTTTCTAAAGCAGGCAAGATTCGGTCCTGTGTTAATATTCATGGAGTTGTGTGAAGTGTCTTGTTGAAATTGCACAGGTTGGTTTGGTGTTTTGTTTTTTTTTTTTTTAACTAGTAGCTTTTCATTTCAGAACTTAAAATTCTTTTCTGATTTGAAAGGTCATTTGCTTTATGTCTGGGCAATCTATCTTGCTCCATGCTGCCCTCCTCTGCAATCCTGCATCATTTTTGTATTTGCCCTTCCCAAAGTAATAACAGCAACTAAATATAAAAGAAATTTTGAAGGTGTGCTAGGATAAATTTGTTGCTAAGGTCATCTGGGTTAAAACCATACCAAAAATATTTTTTTCTAA